AAGTCAGAACTTACAGGATATTTTCATTCCATTTCCTCCTAGCCGAAGACAATCACGACTTGTTTACGATCGGTAGTAAAACCTACTTTTTAGTGTTCACATAAATAACCTATTATCCACCTGGTGCTTTTTCCAAAGGCCAAGAAAATCTTTTTTGTGATGGCCATGAGCAAAAAGCTGTCACTGAAAGCGGGTCCAAACCACTCAAAACGTTGTTATAAATTATCCTGTAAACAGCCTCAAAGAACATCCAGGTGACTGCAGTTAGGAAAATTAAAAAAAGATAAGATGGGGCCTCTCTTGGTGTCATTGAGCTCGCTATTCTGACAAGGCACAACGAGACCCTAATTATGCGGCAGCATGCCTTGGAGAGCCGGCTGCAGGAGATAATGAGCACCCCAGCAGGCAGGCGCTGTGAGGGGCGGGCAGGAGCGGGTGGAGGGGCAGCTCTGCTCTGCGTGGCAAGGGCCTGCCGGGGCTCCGCTGTCATATGGGATGTGGCTCTTTCTATAGTCATTGCTCGACCCCTGGCCCTCCTCCGAGGTTCTTTCTAGGAAGGGCACGTTTTCTTAGCTTTTGTGGACACCAGGAGGCTGTTTCCGAGTAACTGAAAGCAGCAGGGCGCCAGGATTGTATGGGGTCCTCCTTTAAAAGGAGCCCAGGGCTCCACGGGGATCGGTGGCAGCCGGAGGATCTGGGCTCTGCTGGCCGCCAGCCTCAGGGCAGCCTTAGGCACCTCAAGGAAAGAGGGAACAGCTGGGGCAAGTCCTCATCCACCCCAGCTGCTCACAATGGATATATTTACCAGGGCGCTTTTCCTTCTGCCCAGGTGTGGGCCTCAGCAAGAGGGGACCGGGCACATAAATGTGCTCCTGTGCCCTTTGCTCTATGCCAGCACATCTGGTGCTGGGGCGTTCAGGGAGGGAGGAGGACATCAACTATGCAAAAAACTTGCCCTGGCACTTGGTCTCTGCTCATTTGGGTTGGGAGTCTGGGAAAGCATCTCCTGGTTGGGTTGGACTTTTTGGGAAATAGTAAGCAACCCTTCCTCTTCCCCCTGGTTCCTCCACATAACTACATATTCAGATGACAGTTGATTTGCCATAAACTTGCCCAAACTACTGTCCTGTTTCTATTTAGGCATCACAGCAACCGGTTAAAAGATACAAAATTAGGGCAGCTGGGTGTTGAAGTGGATAGAGCACTGGCCCTGGAGTCGGGAGGACCTGAGTTCAAATCCTACCTCAGACACTTGACACTTACTTACTGTGTGACCTTGGGCAAGTCACTTAACCCCATTGCTTACAAAAAGAAAGAAAGAAAAGAGATGCAAAATCCAGTTAAATAACTGTCTCATGGAGACGTTTTACAGAGTTGACCATAACTGGTTATTCTGGTATCATGTTTCAACAAACAGTAGAAGGAACACTGGCTTTGGACCAGTGTTTGACTCCTGTCTGGCAGTTTATGAGATCTTAGACTACTCACTTTACATCTGGGCCTCAGTTTCCTCATCTGCAAAATGAAGGTGCCTTCATTCTTCCAGTCACCCAGGTTGGCAGCCTCCGAGTCATTCCCAACTCTTCACTTTTATTCACTGTACATAATCAGACAACTGACCACTCTTGACATGTCTCTCCCTATCACGTTTCTTACATCTATTCCCTTCTCTCACACAGCCATCTTATTCTTTATCTGTAAAATGAGGGATTGGACTAGAAGGCCTTGGAGGTCTCTTTTTGCCCTAGCTATGTGATTTCCCCTCCCCCCCTCCATTCAGACCCTCCTCACCTCTCCCTGTTGCTACATAGTCTTCTGATTACCCTTTCTGCATCCAGCCCCACCCCTCTTAAATCCACCCAGCTGCCACATTGATATTCCCAAAGCACAGGTCTAACTAGGCTACTTTCCTGGTCAAAAAGCTTCAGCAGCTCTTTCTGTCTCCAGGATAAAATACGGTCCTCTGGTTGGCATTTAAAGCCCTTTGCAATCTGGCTTTCCAGATTAGTCCTGATGCACTCCATGTTCCAGCTAAAATATCAGACTTGGAGTTTAAAATGCACATGGTCCATGTGCTGTCTCTGGTGCCCTTGTTTGGGTTGTCCTCCATGCTTGTGTAGCCAAGCCCCAGAGATCATTTCTGTGGGCAGGAAAAGCTCCAGCACCCAGTTACCCGGGAGATATAGGAACTGAGGGTCTAAAATCACCAGCATTCTCTTTCCCGTGCTGTAGAGAAGAAGGCTTCTGGGTAGTGAAAGGGTAGAGACATGGGGATGAGTGGAGAGATACTTGGCATGAAATTCAAACACAAGGAGCAGCAACGAAGGAGTGGGAGACTATAGAAATGAGGGGAGAGGGGTGAGATACAGAGGTGGGGGCCGGGGGGAGAGAGAGAGACAAAAAGAGAGAGAAACACAGAGACTTAGCTAGAGACAGAGAGAGAAATGAGGAGGCAGATTCAATTGCTGGGATCTAGCTGAGGCCTCTGCAACTATATGAGAAAGAATCTTTTTCAGCTTAGGCCTTATAGAAGTTCTCAAAGCAAGGTTTAAAAAAAGGCGTGAATACGGTTTCTATTTTTCCCTGGCTGGATGAGAGATCAAAATAGCTATGGCTGTCTGGTGGGGGCTGAGTTTCCATGCAGAAGAATTCCCACATAGGGAGAAGCCAAAGGCACTAGGGCAGTGACCGGAGAGTATCAGATAATCGTAGGTGGGCAGAGAAGAGAGTGGCTGGAATAAACTAGAGATATCCCCACTTCAGCAGTGTGACCTTGGATAAGTCACTTTTCCTTTATGGGGCACATTTTCCTTTTTTGTTTTTTTGGGCTAGGCAATGGTGTTAAGTGACTCGCCCACAGTCACACAGGTAGTAAGTGTCAAGTGTCTGAGGTCAGCTTTGAATTCAGGTCCTCCTGAATCTTGGGCCAGCACTCTATTCACTGTGCCACCTAGCTGCCCTGGGGCACAGTTTCCTTAACTCTGTCACTGATGAAGACATTGGACTAAATGATCTCCAGAGTTTCTTCCAGATATGGCAGTGTGTGACTCTGACCTCAGCCTCCAAGTCTTCCATCCTCTCCCTCTGCTAGACTCCTCCTAAATCTTTTTGTCATCTGGCAGACATTCCACTCTCCCTATTCTCCGTCACCCAGGCACTGGCCTCATTTTTCTCCCTGTGAAATCCTGATGCTATAGTTCACCATTTTGACATTACACCGACCTTTACTCTCAAGTCTCTTGTCCTCCTGTTATTCCAAAGGTGGGGCCTAGAGGAGAGGGAGTGAGATTCCCCCTTCTCCCTCCTGCAGAAGGTTAGCTGCATGCTTGAATTTGCTCAGTGGTTTTTCTTTGTTACAAGGGAGAAGGGAGGGTTTGGAATCTAGGAAAGGGGGAGAGGAAGGTATATAGGGAAATTACTATGATATAATGACAGTAACAACCATTTTTAAAGTGAAAAAAGAGTAGAAAGATCCTCTCCTTCCCCCTCTTTGCTGACTCTTGGGGGAACCCTCTAGCTAGTCTCTTAAAGGCCTAGTCTGTAAGTCTTGTATCCCAGATTTCCTTGAGATAAAGATAGTGGAGAAACAAAAGAAGTAGAAGATGGGGATCTGTCCTTGATAAGCTGACAATTTTGTTAGGAAGATAAAAGTGATATGTGAAGAAACTAGGCAACTAAAAGGTAGTGATTAATCAAGTACTAACGTGTAGCAGAGTGTGTAAGTGCTATAGGAATACAGAGACACAAAAATCGATGTTGTGGCGGCTGGGTGCTGAAGGGCACTCTTAGACACTGAATAAAGAAAGGAAAATCCACAAGGTATTCAGGTAGGGTACAGAAATTTGAGATGCACCTTGCTACTTTCTAAAGGAACTCAGCTGGGTAATTATGATTCCTTCTTAGACTCCATTTTTTTTTTGGATGGGGAGACAATTAGGAAATGTATGCACATGAACTTTTAAGTTTAATTTGCATACTAATAGTTTCTTAAGTCTAGTCAATCAAAACAATAAAGCCCTAATTTGTAGCATTGCAGATTTCTGAAAACTTAACAGTCTCAAAGTTCATTAGAGGCTACATGCAGCACACCCCTTACTGGAAGGGAGAAAGTGGAGGCAAGGAAATCAGTTAGAAGGCTGTTATAACAGCCTAAGTGAGTGTGAACTAGGGTTATGTCAGTGGGAGTGGAAATGAAGGACCAGATATGAGGAATATTGCGGAGGTAGAATCAGTGGCTTTGACAACAGATTAGCCATGGTAAGGAGAAAGACAGCCAGGGTGACTCCAAAATGTCCAGTCTGGATAACTGAGAACATGGTGATTCTATCAACAGAAGAATTATGTATAATTCTTGTGTCAGAGGGTGATCCTATCAGGAAAGGTCTGGGAGCACTTTGAGGGATGTTTCACTTCTTTTGACTTATTGTCCCCAACCAGATAATCTGGGCATTTCAGTGTCCCCAAGAGTGTGGTCACTAATTCCCTTTACAAGCACATAGGCTGACAATGCCCAAAGTAGGAACATGTTTATGGAAGTTAATGGAAATAAACTATACTTACATCAGAGCCCATAGAAACTAACAATACTCACAAGGAGTGATTCTCCTTCCAAAGGTCTGTGTAGTCTCAGCCCTTTTTAGTGCTATTCCAGAAAACAGCCCCAACTGGTGGGAACTCTGGGATTGTTCCTCCATCTTATTGCTTCACCCCTGTGACTCCTCTGGCTCCTTGTTCAGGACTGCTTGTCTTGGAGCTCATACATCCGGCAGCTTTTATTGCTGGTCATTGCTCCCCATTGTGGTCTCTGTGGCAGTCTTGTGTGAATGCACCTGTTGCTTTCACCCCATGCAGTTCTCTCTAGGTCTTAGCAGAGGGCACCAGTTGCTGGTCTCCATTGCTATTCTTTTTCTTTCTGTGACGTTTTGCCTGCAAATTATGTTTCTTGCATTTTTGCTCAGCTTCTAGCAGATGGAGGTCTTTCCCTTTCACAGGCAACCAGCTCTTCAGACTCCCCAGCCCATCTGTGTGACAGCTCAGAAACACAATTCCAAGGGGCTTCTATTTCTAGTACCTTCTCTTGTACAGCGGATACATGGTCCCAGACTTCACACAGAAAGGGCTAGAGGATCCATCCTCCTTTGCACCGTGTAAGTGGGTCTTTCTCCCCTATTTCCTATTATTTCATGGTGACAGCACCATGTATAAGATTTTGTATAAGATTCAAGTTTGTATAAGATTTGTATAAGTTTGTATAAGATTCAAGATTCCCAAAGATCAAAACAGGCTAGGGCCTTAGGATGAATCTAATTGAATGAGATTAGACTTGAAATTAAACATGAAATAGGGATAAATGTTAAAGCCTTAGACCTGGGTTTAAAAAATCTACTTCAAAAGTACAAGATAGTATTTTGAAAAAAAAAAAATCTAGATACTTTAAAGGACCGCAAGCCTCAAATAAGCCAACAGGGTTATGTGTCAGGCAATAAATGCAGTGAGATCTTGGGCTGTCTTAAGAGAAGCATAGCTTCGAGGAATACAGAAGCCAGAGTCTCTCAGTATCTTGCCCAGGTCAGACCACATGTGGAGATGTTATGTTTAGTTGTGGAAATCATTGTCCTACACACTGGAAAGTGTCCAGAGGAGGGCAACCAGGATGTTGAAGGACCTTGAATCCATGATGACATATAAGGATTGATGACAGAAAGAAACTGGGCCTCTTTAGCCTGGAACAGAGAAAACTCAGGGGGCAGACACGATGCTATCTTCAAATACATGAAAGGTGGATTAGATTTATTTTGTTTGACACTAGAGCACAGAACCAAGAATAACGGGAAGAAATTACAAATATGCAAATTTAGGTTTGATGTTAGGGGGAAAAGCCTCAATAATTCGAACTGTCCTAAAGTAGAATGTGTTGCCTTGGGAGGTAGGGCATCCCATTGGGGTCTTCCGTTGGAGGCTAGATGAGCACTTATTGGATGTGTTTGAGTGGGGATTTCTTTTACGTATAGCTTAGACTAGATGGCTACCAAAGTCCTTTCCAAATCTCAAATTCTGTATGTGTGTAAGAAAGTCGTTGTTGAGTTGTTTTTCAGTCATGTGTGACTCCATTTGGGTTTTTCTTGGCAAGGATACTAGAGTGGTTTGCCATTTCCCTCTCCAGCTCATTTTACAGATGAGGAAGTTGAGGCAAGCAGGGTTAAGTGACTTGCTCAGGGTCATATAGCTAGGAAGTGTCTGGGGCCACATTTGAGCTCACAAAGAGTTTTCCTGACTCCAGGTCTACCGTTTCATCCACTGCCCCTCTGTAAGAAACACTGCTTCTCAAAACATCTAGAGGAGCACCACATATTCCTGCAACTACTATGTTCTGGGAAGGGAAAGATTTGTAGTCCCTGATACCTAGGGAGGTTGGGAGGGGCAGGTTTAGGAGTTTAAGATGATGAATTCAATTTTGTATAAGTTGAATCGGCATTTGAAAGGGCAGATCTAGACCTCAGAGGGCAGAGAGTGAGACTAGTTTTGGAATCCTCTGCATGGAGGTAATAATGGAAGCCATAGAAGAGAGAAAGGATGGCAAAGGACAGAGTGTTGGAAGATATCCACCTTTAGAGGATAGAATGAGGAAGAGGATTTGGGTGATAAGAAAGAGAGGGAGTCATGAGAGTGAAGGGAGGTCCAGCAGAGTGTGGAAGTTAATGGAGGAGAAAATATCTTCAAAGAGGAAAAGTTAGTGAAGAGTGGCAAGTGCTTCAGAGAAGCAAAAGAGGGCGAGGATAGAGAAGAGGCCATTGGTGACCTTGGGGAGAGCATTTCCATTAGAGTAAGAGGAACAGAAGTCAGATTCCCGAGGGCCGTGGAGTGGGAGGTGAGGAAGTAGAAGTGAGTATACACCTGGGAATTAAGTTGACAGTGAGTGGGAGGAAAAAGACAGAATTAGAGCTGTCCACAAAAAGACTACCTAGCCCAAAGTCAGGAATGAAGGATTACTCTGAAGAGTGATAACTTGGCAATGGGAATTCTGTGGCCCTAAGTTGAAATTTCAGAAAGTAATTTCTTTCTTTAGGCAGGTGCAAAACAAATGGATCACCAGAGGTCTGAGGACTTTCTTTTCACAACTCTCCTTGCAATGCAAAAAAGTCCACGCTTGTTTGCTCAGCATTTTGAAATTCTGCTGCGTCAGCATTTCTTCACTCACTTGAACTGATTTCAGAGTCTTGGTTAATAGTGTTTTGGAATGGTGTGTGTGTTTGTGTGTGTATATATATATATTTGTATTTAAATTCACTACTTATGCTTACTATTCCTCCAGCACAATCCATAGTTGATAGACCCTTGGAGTCAGGAAGACCTGGGTTCAAGTCTTGCCTTTGACACATCCCAGCTGTTTGACCCTGGACAAGTAAGTCACTTAACCCTTTCAATGCCCCAGGCAACTCTCAAAGATTAGAAATTACAGATGAATTATTGGTCTATATCAGTGGGGGGGTTTCCATACCAGTATTCCTTAGACTCACACACATAACTCCCATAGAGAGTTCTAGTGATACTTCTGACCCTTCTCCTACCATGAAAAAGTAACCTATTAGGCTACTGGGAAAATGCCTAAAAGGTATATATAGTCTGACCGCTTAAGTTACTAGTGCTTAGCACAGTGCCTGATACACAGTAGGCGCTTTAACAAATGCTTGTTGATTGACTGCCTCTAAGTGATGAAACAGAAAGCTACAGAACTAAATTGGTTTTCTGGAAGGGGTAAGCTCATGATAGTACTGGGGTTGTGGCAGTTTTGTAAATAGATTTTAGCATGTCTCAAAGTTTCTTTAGCCTTTTGACTGAACCACCATGAGTACCAGTTACGTGAAGAAGTAATGATAGGTCATGACATTCTTATTCAAATTCTTACCTGCTCATAGACTTTATTTTAGGTTCATAAAACCATAGATTCAGAACTGGAAAAGACCATAGCGGTCAACTAATCCACCCTTCCCCACCCTCCACCCCATTTTACAGATAAGGAAACTGAGGCCCATAGAGTTTAAGTGACTTGTCTAAGGTCACACAGCTTGTAAGTGGAAGAGTCAGGAATCAAACCTATGTCCCCTGATTCCAAATCCGGCATACTTTCCAATGTACCCTGTTACCTTTTCTTGACTCACCCTCACGAGCCTAGGAATTAGTGTCTGTCTGACTCAGAGCCCAGAATACTTGACGGGTGAAAACCCTTCCCTTTCACATGAGTGCCTGCCCCAGGCTCCACTTTGTGTTGGTTGGTAACAACTGCCAGGACTGACCAGCAGTGCCGAGTATAAAGTCTGATATTGGGCAGTCTTTTCTAGATAATCCAACTTGAATGATTCCCCTCCTCATAAGCTCTTTCTGGAACTGGCCTATCCTGCTGATCCTTATGAAAGGGCTGGGAGACTGAAGGATACAGACTTAGGTGAAAGCATTCATTTAAAAATTACCCTTGAATCCACATCTCTTCCCTCCTGCCATTCCACAGAGGCTCAACTAATGGATAGAGCCTGGGGAAAGCTAACTCATCCTGCAAAGATTGACTTTTCTCTACCTCCTACTCATGCAACAAATTGCTGTACAGACTGTACCAGATAAACTGGCATTAAGAGTTATTAAAGACAAATTGGCTGTTTAGGAAATAGGAATTCAAAGCAGGCTGCTGATTTCCCTGAAGGGAGCTGAGAGAAATGGCCAGTGAGTCATAGAGAGACTTACGGTCTTGGTCCATGGAAAGTGGTAAAAATCCAAGGTGAAAAGACAGCTATGAAGGACCCCAGCTCCTGAACTCCAAACATGTGTGGGCTGTGACACTAAATTCTGTGTGTGTGTGTGTGTGTGTGTGTGTGTGCTCATTTCCCAAATGGATTTATGCCCTCTTCCCCCTGCTAAAAAAAAAAAAATCATCATGAGTTTTGCTTTCAAATGTCAAAGGGTGTCCAGCCTTGAAATGGTTAGAGTAATGATGAAATGTTACTTGGAATGGCTACCTTTATGCTTAATGCCTTTTAATCTTATCTCACCACTCATACTATTTCAAAACTCAGTTCCTGAAACTCCTCCACAAACCTTTACTTACTAGCTCCAGATCACAGGGCTGTCCCTTTACCCTGAACTCAAAGCAATGGTTCTCTGTATTGTTTAGTTAGTACTTATCAGAGCTGTGGATTGGTGGTGGGGAATCATAGATTTAGAGTTGTGAGGGACCTTAAATATCATCTAGTCCAATACTCTCATTTGATAAATGAGGATACCAAGGCTCAGAGAGGTGATGTGATATTTCCAAGGTCATAGTAAGAACCAGAATCAGAATTTGAACCCAGATCCTCTGACTCCAAATTTAACCCTCTTTTCACTGTACCATGCTACTTAACACTAAAAGGATGAGACAAATCAAATGTTGCAAAAATTTGCTTGGTTCTTTAATATACTCTTTTAAAAAATTTTTTTTATTTATTTTTAGTTTTCAACATTCACTTCCATAAGATTTTGAGTTTTAAATTTTCTCCCCCTCCCCCCCTCCCTAAGACAGCATACAATCTTATATAGGCTCTACATATACATTCATATTAAATATATTTTCACATTAGTCATGATGTGAAGAAAAATTAGAACCAATGGGAGGGACCATAAGAACCAAGGAATGAAACAAAACAACAAAAGAAAAGGAGAGCCAATAGTATGCTTTGATCTGCATTCAGACTCCAAAGTTCTTTCTCTGGATGTGGATAGCATTTTCCATCGTGAGTCTTTTGGGGTCCTTCAATATATTCTTAAATTCTGGCCCTTCTTAATCCTAGACTACTTGTTGACCTCTCCTATTTCTTTGTCATTTATTTACTTCTTATGTTGCTACTTAACTTTTTTCATGTATCCATATCTTGTTTTTCCAATTTGATTTTAAGCTTTATGAGAATAATGTAGTGTTAGTTATATGGTGTACATTCAAACATTTTTTTCAATGGATGAATGAATGTAGGGGTGTTGTTGATGAATAGAGTAGGGTTGCAGTGGTGTAGTAAGACATGTGTTAGATAAGCCCTCATATTTCCAAAGGATGGTGATCCTTTTTGTGGGGTCAGGGAATCCTTTTTATAGGCAAGAAATCTAATGATAATAATCATAATAGCTAACATATGTGTTGTGCTTACTATGTGCCAGGCACTGTGCTAAGTGCTTTACAATTATTATCTTATTCTTATAACAATCCTGGGAGGCAGGTGTTATTATTACCCCCATTTTACAAATGAGTAAACTAGGGCACATAGAGGTTAAGTAATTTGCCCAGGGTCACATAGCTAATAAGTATTTGAGGCTGGATTTGAACTCCAGTCTTCTTGACTCCAGGCCCAGTGCTGTATCCACTGTGCCACCTAGCTGCCTACAATGAATTCATAATTCTATTCAAACTGTGACATATGAAAAGTCTAAGAGCTGTAATTTCTGGGTAATTAATAATCAATTTTATTCATTATGGCTAGCAGATAACTAATAAAATGATGGTCATTTGGCTTTCTCTTGTAAACCAAAGATGAATCATGGAGGCTGCTCAATGCTTATATGCCTTGGAAGAGTTGATGTTCCCAATAGGCAGAAATCAACTTTGATTGGTTAGCAGTTAATGAGAGAATGAGTATTATTATGAGAAGTGGACCTATGCTAATGAGAGGCTGGCTACTTGACTCTGATTATATCACACAGGGACAAAGAGAGACTCATTTCAAGCCAGACCACTCCCAGACCTCTGGCAATCTATACAACACATCTATTTCCACCGTCAATGAACAATGGTGGAGTGAGATTTCCACCTAGAATAGATTCTCTTTGTGAAGTCTTCTAGTTGGGTGGGGTGAGAAGCATGTACCCAGAGGATTTGGATAATCTCATCTATCAGCAATGTCCTTTACAAGGATTGGTCTTTGAATGAGGAAATGGAAAGGGAAAAAACCCTGGATCTCCCCAATATTAATTGGTTATTAATAACAATTTCTCTCAAAATCCTTCTTCCCACTGTAGAGATGAGGGGTCAGTTTAGGGTTTGACATAAGGAAGTTTATCTAGGGCCTGTGGCACAAATACACTAGTGGTGTAATTAGGCCTGTTGATTTAGCTGAAACCAGCATGATGGAATAAGAGGAAGCTGGATGAAAAACCCCCTTCCCTAAGTGTTTCTGACTGAGAGGTGGAGATGAGGAGAGAATCCTTGGGTGTATCATCACATGGTAGACAGCAGAGAGTGTGACCTGGGCCCATGTGATACCAAGAGAAGAGTTCCTGAATCTTCAGTTTTGGGCTGCCTTTTTCTGCCTTTGTTTCCTTTTCTGCATACAGATCGGGGACAACCAATTCTAAGGATGGGACGTTTCCAGCCTTGGGATTGACCTACAGGAAGAGCCTGAGTTTGAGAGTTGGGCACTCTCTTCACTGAGGAAAAGGTTTTCTTAACAGCATACTTCTCAAAGCAGAAGAAAATCCTCCATAGAGGCAATCCCTGAAGCTGCTAAAGAGGAAGGACCAAAGCATGCCATGAAGGGCCGGGAGATGTGGACCTTGCCAACCTTCTATGATTTTGCTTTGGAACTGCTTGGAATGTGTAGGTCTGAGGCAAATAGGGAGTATCTGGTCAATTGCCCCACAAAGTGTTTTCACCTTCTGAAGGGAATCTAATAGACTATTTGAATCCTGAATCTATTATACTATTTGAATATTTTATGTTCTTTATTTGTTCATGGGTATCTGTGAGTCCTTTGCATCCTATGCCCCTCCTTTTTCGTGGTGGGTGAAATAAAAGCTGTCTTTTATTGAGTCCCCATATTGTACATTGAGTGTGTTTGTAGGAGTTGGGGAGTTACTTACCTACACTTAAGAAAATCTAGACGTGAGCTACATCTAGGTTTTATTCTAATTTCCCCACAGTTTTACTCCAGGACGGGAAAAATAAGCCAGAAGAGAAACTGACACCTTTGAGATCACCTCCATGATCAGACCAAGGTCCATGTAATCCCAGAGTCCTTGGAGGTGGGGCAAGTCTGGGTCATGATAATAGTTAGCATTTGTATAGTGCTTTAAGGTTTGCAAAGCACTTTACACATGACTTAATATTATTTGATCCTCACAATAAACTCTGTAAGGTAGGTACCTATTTTAAAGACGATGAAACTGAGGCTAGTAGAGGTTAAGTGACTTGCCCAGAGTCACACAGTTAATAAATGCCTTCGGCAGAATTTGAAATTGGGTCATCTTGATTCCAAATCTAGCGCTCCAACCACTGTATACCCTAGATGCCAATAGGGCAGTCAATGGCTAGAGGTAACAGCAATGGATACTAATAACTTTTTTGGAGGCTAAATGGAAGATGTGGATAGGAATCTATACTTTTTTGCACTCTTATTAGCATTAGCCAAGCTCTAGCCTCATAGGTTATTACTCTGTAATAACCTTTACTCTGTAACTTATTATTGTTTTAAATTTTTTTTAGTTAATTAAAGAAATTAATGTTTCTGTATGAGTGTTTTCATGATGTAGCACATTTGGCATTAAGAAAGATTCATACTGCATACTGCATATACACAGGATGTCATGTATTGGGGTCAGGATACCAAATATATTGAATAAACTGACTATAGGACCACAGTGGGAAGTGTCCAGATGATGTACAGATATAGAAATTTGTCCTTTAAGGGACAGAATCTGTTTCCTGGTTGATAGGAGGTCAATGAGTGGGCAAAGAGATGTCTATAGTGGGTAGGTGAACTGACTTTGGTGGAGAAAACTGGGTTCATTATAGGTTTAATCCACTAATCACGGTGAACTTGTTGGAAAGTCTAGGTCCAGAGGATTCGACCTATGTCCACGGACATTTGCTACCTCAGTTAATCATACAAAAACATCTATTTTATTCATCATTGTTGAAGAATGAGGTATTTCACATGAGCAAATTTTCTTGTAAGCATTCTATGGTTCATGTGAGGCAATAGATCTGTGTCCCTTGTTACACATGAGATCTGCCTTGAGATGTCCCATGGTACAACATGGAGCGTGTACCCTGACCTTTTCCTGAAAGAAGAGTGCTTTGACCTCTTGATAAAGGCTTGTGATTGGTCTTGATGTTGGCCATCCCCTTGTTATAAGAAGGGGGCAGTGTCAAAGAAGGTTGGCTGAGCAGCAGGAGCTTCCCACTAAATGGACTTTTAAGGGAGAGAAGACTTCCATTCTCATTGTCTTCTTTCTTCTGAATGTGTAGTGTGGAGATCCTAATAATTCTCTTCCAGGGGAAAGAACTGCCATCTCTTGCCAGCTACTTTGGCGGCTGCTCCCACAGGACAGCAAGAGCACGTGTTGAGTCAGATGAGGCCGACTGTGGACCTTAATTCTATGGCTTTCTCTTGGATTTATGTTTCTTTCTCTAATCCTGAGATTAGAGCTCTTTTCAGATCCTCCAATCTAACAATGATCCTGAGATGGATATTTTCTACTTTTGTGAGATCAAGAAGTCAGGAGTTCTTGAGTTTGAGTGTTAGTTACCCAGCAGGAGTAACTTTTCCTTTCATAGGAGATGACCTCCTTCTTTCCTTTTGTAGAAGAAGATGACCATTGCCAGGAGGATGAGACCAAGGTCTCAGCAGAAGATATGGTCCTTTATCAAATTGCTTGGTCAGTGCAGAGCCAAGATGAAGGTGCAGGTAGGATGCCTGTTAAGTGGTCCCATGAAGTATTTCATGTTTAAATATTTTAAGTATTAACTTCTAGGAGAGAGTAATAGGAGTTATGGGTTACCTTTTCATATTTTAAGCCTTTGTCAATGAGTGCTTATGAGACTTTTATATTTTAAATATTTATTTTATGGTGGAGGAAATAAAGAGCTGTCCTATACTTGATTTACTTTGTATGTTAAGTATATTTCTAGAAGGGATCCTGTTAATTCCTTTTAGGGTTTTCATGAACAACACACCTTCTTGTTTTGGTCACATATCTCTTTGATAATATTTTTTATGTTTCTTCTTTGTAATTACTTATTGGTAATATATTGCTGTCAGCTCATCCCACCACAAGCCTTTCTGTTTTTGGGGAGTTTGAGAATTCCATCATTTATATCCATCAAGCATCATCAGGAGACTGTTCATATTTTTAAAAATGGTTTTTGGGGGCAGCTAGGTGGTGCAGTGGCTAGAGCACCATCCCTGGAGTCAGTAGGACCTGAGTTCAAATCTCAGCTTCAGACTTATAACCCTCACTAGTTGTGTGACTCTGGGCAAGTCACTTAGCCCCAATTGCCTCAGCAAAAAAAGGGCTTTTGTTTCAAGGAGAAGCCTGTGATCCCTAAAAATATCATCTAACTTCCCAAAAGCAGTCCAGCTCACTCTATTTCTCCTATTCTATTTGGTGGTAAATTCATTGTTATTTACAATGTTTGTACTAATGGACAAGGGATGTTTGGGATGTTCAGGGAGGACTAGCACTTCTGTGTGAGGGCTTGTCATGCCCTTTTCTTTACATATATATATATATATAAATATAAATATATATATATATATAATATACACACACACATGTATGTATGCATATATGGCAATTGAGGTTAAGTGACTTGCCCAGAGTCACACAGCTAGTAAGTGTTATGTGTCTGAGCCCAGATTTGAACTCAGGTCCTCCTGACTCCAGAGCCAGTACTCTATCCACTGCACCACCTAGCTGCTCCTTGTCGTGCCCTTTTCAGGGTTACTCATCCACTTTTGGTATCCACCTGTCACCCAGTTCTCACCTGGGGCTCCAAGAAGCTGTAGCATGCTTAAAGGCCGCACCCTGGTAAAACCATCTCAGCAGATGGGCACAACCAAATTGAGGGTAACCAATAGGACTCTGACCCATTGGTAAGTTAGGGGGTTGTCTACCCCAAGCATGTGAAGATCTCCCCTGGCAGAATGGCTAGATCAAAATAATTTATTCCAACAGCCATGAAAGTGGCTAAAGTAGGCACTGTGGAGCACTTAGCTCTTAGTCAGACATTAAAGACCCCAAGGTCATCAACTGCATCCCAGGACACTGTCAATTGTCTTGACTTTTGTCTTGCCATTGGACTTTGATGACTCTGGATGAGAGAGTGAGACTGATGACTTTGCGCGACTCTGCCTCATTTAAATCCAGTTCACACACAAATCAAGAAATCACCCCATCATGTTAACAGTCCTCTTCAAAAACGAAGGACAAACAGCAACAACTGATGAGCGAACAGATGTACTTATGCACCAATTCTGTGTGTTAGCTATCCGACTATCCATCCATAGTCTAGATGATAGACATTCTTCATTCATTTTTTTCCTTCTGTTTTTCCTGGATAGTTATTAGATTGAATTCGAGTGATTATGGATTTCATTTAGAAAGCTTTGGCGTGTTTGGGACAACACAATGTCACTGGCAAACAGGAACATCTGGAGGACTTCTCTATCTATAGGAAATCATTGTTTCATTTGGATTCTGCACTGGACATCCTCCATGAAAGTGGCAAGTCCTTTTGGCAACCATTCCTCTCCCTGTTTTATGCCTCACTTGAAATTGGCCATTGATGGTCACTGAAGAAAGTTCTATTGTTACAGCTTTCAAGGAATCTTAAATGATTGTAACATATGCATGGAGATACGTTGATGGAGAAGAGCCTTTATGGGGCTGTTTTGCTTTACTGAATCAAATGCTTTTTAAATAATGAAATATATTGATATATTTTGTTTTGGCACAACAGACACTTTATCACAAATAGCCAAACAAACTCCCCAGATAGTATATTGCTCAAAAATGATTAATCTATCAAATTTTAATTGGAGAATGCTTTCTTTGATTTTAACAGCGTGGTGCTAATATCAAAAGCTCTTTTTTATCAACAAAAATGAAGCACAGTGGGATTTCTTATTCTTGCTTAACTGTAAAGATGTGGTCTCCTGTAGAGTATCACTTGCAAAAGCCTGCTTTTTCATACATTCATCAAGTTGCATCAATATGTGTGTAGATTATTTTCATAAAGAATTTGTAGAGATGATAATATAAGCACGTGGGTCAATAGTTATTGACATTTGACAGCCATGGGTGGAAGCTGCAGAGAGGCAGGTTGATGCAGAAAAAAGCTTTTTATAATTTAGAGCTGTAGTGAGTCCATAGTGCCATGTCTTGGGAAATAGACGAGGTCTCCAAGTAAAGGCTAAATGAACACTAGTCAGGTGTGTCACAGAGGGAATTCTAGTTCATGTACAAGTTGTACTAGATGGCTTCTTTTTGTGATACTTCACAATACCATACAAATGTTTTTTGCATTATATCTACATTTTCATCCAAGTCTTTGATTTCAATATTGAACAGAACAAGATCAAAAGCAGAACCCTAAGATAATCAACCAGAGACTTCCCTATAGACTGACATCAATTGATGCTCTGGATAAAATTTTACATCCAATTAACTGTACTTCCTCCTACTTCATCTCTCAATCTTGTCCATAAGGATTTCATGAGAGACTTTGTTGAATACTTTGATGAAATCCAGATATACTATTTTACAGCTGTCCTCTGATGTTACAAGTCCTTTAATCCAATCAAAGAAGGTAGAAGGCATTGTAGCGTCATGGAAAGAGTGCTAAATTCAGAGTCAGGGGACTACGGTTGAAATCTTGGCCTTCCCACTCACTACTTGTGTGACCTTGGGCAATCCCTTTCACATCTCTGACGTTCAATCTTCTCATCTTTAAAATGTAGG